CTTAAGATTGCATTCAAATTTCGTCATCAACATATAAATTGAGCTGTTGTCTCGCATCAATACATGCAGAAAAATAAGCCATTTTTCACTAACTTTTCAACAGAACTCAACTTAACACTAATTCAACTCCGATTCCGAATCCGATGCCAATTGCAACTTCAAATCCAAAACTCCAACTCCAGCAGCGACTCCAACTTGAACTCACATTCGATTCATTCGCAGCAACAAAAACAACTCATCCTCAACTCATATCCTTTCATTATCCTTTTACTGTTGCGTCTGTGCTATTTGCTCATAAGAAAACTTTAATCACAAAATGCCGGTTGTGTGGTCACAGGATTGTAATACATTTCATTACGTACCGAGTGTTCCAAAGCTGTTGTATGTTTGATGGATAAACAAACAAGTGAAGGAAGTTTGGATTTAAATTTGTTATGTTTGTAAATAACAATTTCAAATTCTCGAGTACTTGAATGCGTACTAAATTAAATTTCTTTCCTTACTGATATTGAACTAAGACTATGTGTGCCTTAAGTAAGTGAAATATAATTACTTTATGCTACGAATTTATAGTTACGCTCCTTAAGTTTAAACTTCATAATTTCTTAAATGAATTATCTATGAAGTGGCATAAGAAAACAACAAATCAAATTCCAAATTAACGTATAAATCATGTCCAGTATTTGTATTTAGTTTAGTGAAACTAAATTAAAGTAATGAAGTTTGTTAAAATCACTTCACATAATTCATATTTTAATAAATAGACGACTGACTTTACACCTGGAATTCTCACCTGCAGCTACTTAAGATACTTCGCTCGTACTTTGGATGCGACACCTTGATTCTTCGTAATTTGCTTGACAAATATTTAATTCCTACAAAACACTGCAATATTGACTCATAATCAAAAACTAACAATTTACGTGTATGTATTAGCAAAAAACCGAATCTCAGGATATTTACAATTTAGCACAAGGAACCAAGGAATATGGAATAACGAGTACAACGCACTTGCTGCAGTTGCAAGATAAGTAATAAATAGCTGAGGTCATGTCTCACATAAACAAGACACTGAGATACATTTAGAAACAGCCAAAATACGTGAGCTGAGCAAAATTTACGTTGCACTGCATCAAAAGTATTAAATCAAACAATATTTTCTAGCAAGGACCCAACTTATAAGTGATAATCACAGCAATATGTTGTCACCCGAAACTGAAAAGATGAATAAAAACAAGAATTTCAAGCACATTAAGACAGCAATTTATTAAGCAATTTTTTATGTTATTTATATAAATATATAATATATGTAGATATATATACATTTATATAATAAATCTATATTTATGTAAATGTTGGTTTTTTTATAGGTTGAATTTATTAAGTGACATAAAAGACATTCAAATCGGAGAAATGTCCTTAAAAAATGTTTAACAGGAACGACAAAAAAGTCTAAGAATATGGTTTGCGGATTATGTGCTCCTCAGCCAACTCGAATAAAAGAAACTATAGAAGATGAATTTTTAAGCAACTGAGACTATATACTATTAATAATTTTGTGAATGTTACCTTCCCAGGAACGACAAAATAATTCTAAGAATATGGTTTCCGGATTATGTGCTCCTCAGCCAACTTGAATAAAAGAAACTATAGAAGATTAATTTTTAAGCAACTGAGACTATATACTATTAATAATTTTGTGAATGTTACCTTCCCAGTAGTCCAATCTCAATGGTTTATCAGAATATTCCAACAACTACTGCTACGGAAAGTGGGTTAAATAATATACATAGATATTTACGGAGATTACAACATCACCCTCCGCAAAACGATACTTTAAAGACCCTAATTCAACAGATTGATAAGACAGAGCGTAATTAAACTATAGTTGTGAAAATTTCAGTGACTAAAAAGAAAATTATGTCAAAAAATTAATATTATTTAAAGATTTAGAAAAGTGAGGTGTAAAAAGATTTGAATACCTCTCCATATTGATGTTTTTCTGGTTTTGTAGATCACTAAAAACACCAAATCCTATTTATCCTATTGCCTATAATTTGGTTGGCAATATTTGAAATAATAGATTGCTTATCTTGAAAATTGTTTGACATCAAGTTAGCATCTTCTACCCTCTTCAAATAAGATAACGTTCAACTCAAACTAACTCAATAACAGAATTATCTTAGATTTAAAGCTTTTAAAGCTTTGAAGCTTTATAAGGCTTTTCGTCTTCTTTACAACTGCGGATAATTCAAATTTTATGTATTCCAATTATTAAATAGAAGACTAATCTTATATAGACGGTCTATGTAACAAATCCAACAACTGCAAATAGGTTTAAGTTATCACGAAAACCTGTGGATTACTTTGACAGTAGTGAAGTATATTTCTTTTTTAAGACTGCCTAATGTGATAGACTGTGTTGTCTAAACACAGTTTATTAAAAACTTTTAAACGAGGTTAAAAATGGGTTCTAAATCCTTAAGCAACTATGTGCCTGTTTTTATATATTATACTAGAGTAGATCTTATTCTAAAACTAGTATCTAAATCTATTAATCAAAAGCTCTTAGACAAGATTGGAAAAACTGCCACTCTCTTAGCGAAAGTGGCCCTTTGTACGATTCTACTTGCTACCAACTGCCCTCTAGTTTAACAGCAGGCTTAAACTTATGCAATTAGACTTCATTTTATATTTAAATGGTCTAGATTATATAAAGAATACTCTTACGTATTAAAATTTGGTCTCATAATCCCTCCCAATATTGATTAAACTTTCTCCATTTGATTGCAAGTATTATATTCATAGCCCTGTAAAGGAATACTGAGTTAGAGGCAACGGGATTTTACAGACAACTCAAAACTTAATAATAGGGTGAGTGGTGACGTTTTGTTTGATGAGCTCTACATTAAAGTACTCTTCCGGCTATGGGATCACTGTAGTATTTTTCAAGTCGATATTGCTGTTAATCATTACAATGAAATATTTTGTAGGAATATTTATATTTCTAACACCCTCGCTGGTGCTTGTGCAATATTTTAATTAGTATTAGAATATCGTACATCTTTTAACGATATGGGTTCCCGGTTATAAAAAGATTTTTGGCGATTGTAAAACCGTTTAATTGACCAGGAGTGATATACAGTTTCTCATTATATCTCATTACCATATATTATATAGATGTCTTCAGATAAATACGCTATACGTATAGAGTAGCTTCAAATGGTGAACCAAAAATGGTGCAGTAAGTACATTAGTAAAACTACGATTAGGACATGCTTCATCTATGAACATAGCAGCTATTAAGGTTTACTCTTCATAGTGCTTGTAAGATAATCTCTAATCGTTAGGCATATCGACCGATTAGGGGATTCCCTAATGATTAGGGATCCCTAATATAGCAAAAATTTCCTTCGTAACATATTTTGTCATGTGGTGTTAAATCATAGAAATATAAATTTCTAATCTAAAAAGTACTATGCAAAGAACTACATTTATAGACTTAATTGTAGGAGTAAAAATACAAAGGGGTAAGTGGGTAAAATTAAATAAGATTTAATTCGTTAAACTTGACAATTGCACTGCATCCTGTCAATGCCTTTAAGCAAATAATTAAACTTACCACAAGACTCGGCACCGGTGTCATGCGTCAAAGTATGAAAGCGAAACCTGCCATTCTGGGGCGACATTAAGGGAAGTGTGAACACTTGTTTAACAAACTAAAAAGTTAAACTTAAAAAAAACAAAAAAAACAATTTAAAAAAAAATCGAAAACACAATCAGTAGAAAGAACAAATTCTGCACCAGGAACGATAGAAAAAAAAAATAAAATAATTGAAAAAGTTTGTTGAATTAAATTTTTTCAAATATGGGCATTTCATTAAGAATAATTTAAGGATAAATCCGTAGTGCAAGAAAATTTTTGCAAGACCAGCAAAATGATGCCTGTGCTTTGATGTCGCTCCAAAGAATTGGATTAGACAATGCAAAACTGCTGGAACTGCTCTAAGTCATTGGAGGCACAGTGGCAGTGGTAATGGTATCTTGCAGCTGACGTACTTAAAGGACTAAAAGGAGCAGTAGCAGCAACAGGAGTAATAGCAGTTGCCCAAAAATTAATGTTGGAACAAGACTAATTGGGCACTTTTATTGTTGGAAAGTTTCTGTGAAGTTTGTTGTCGAATACTTAAAGAGGGCAAATCGTGTATTGAGAAAATTAAAAGCGCATTTTAATGAAAAGTTAATTGTATGGAAATGAATTTATTATTTTATTATGGAAATAGTGCCTCCTTATGAGGGCACTTAACACTTTCAACAAAGGCCAAAGTTCAGCTATCTCAATGAATTTTGCATTTAAATTACATTTATTTACAACTTAAGTTTAAGTCTTCTTAAGTTTCTAAAAATTTTTGGGAGAATATTTCCGCTTCTTCCTGTAAGTAAGCATTTGAAGGATTTGTTTGTAGTCTAACTAAGGAACTTGAATTTTTATAAAATGTCACGTTTTTCCTTATTTGAGGTACAATATAAATCAGTAGTAAAAATAGTGTTTTATTTTGTTGTATTGCAATGACTGCAAATCGCCACAGTCTCTTACTTTGCTTAAGAGGTGCTTATGAAGACTATAGTCTATGAGTTGCAAGCTTCACGCATGTAATTTGCCGGTATTTTGGCGAATCCCTGAATAATGGTCTTCTTCAGCGCATCTATACTGGCATGTTTTTTAGTCCTCACCTTGCTCTTCAAAATGGCCCAGATGGAATAGTCCATCGGACTTGCATCTGGCGAATTCGAAAGTTATTCTGTGGACGAATGAAGTATGGCACATGATTTTTTAACAGAACTCTAATCTTGTTTCTGTGAGGATCAGATCAATGCGTGGTGTCAACCGATCTATTATATACAGTATATAGTATAGTGTCAAAGCTCAAAGTAGGCTTTGATTTTTATATATAAATAAATGAAAAAACTTGAAAAGAATTTAGTCAAAAATAAAAAAATTGTGTGTTGTTTAACAAAAATTTCGGCTTACAGATTTTTAGTTTAATTTCGGCTTCTAAATTCGGTCAAAAAAACTGTGTGAAATGGATTCCTCTAATAAAAATATTGAAAAGGAAAGAGTAAGTCAATAGTGATAGATTTATTTTTGCTAATAACAATAAATATATATTGTTTATTTCTAGGATGATGTGACCATTGATAGCCTTGAGGAAGTAGAGGACAGTGATGTTGATTGTAAAACCAATTACAGTGAGCTGATTCTTCAAAATATGAAACAAATCAGAAGTCGCATAGCTAATATGGAAACTCAGATGCAGAAACTAGATGAACGGGTTATGGAATTGCAGGTAAAACAAGAAAAAGAGATGGCTGAGACGCAAGAACCACCCAAATTAACTACATTGGAAAAAATCCAACAAGCAATTGATCAAAAGAGACCGGTCGAAATACCGCTGTTGATCCAATTGCTTAAAGAGCATGGTGTAAATGCCTATTCTTCAAAACACAGTGATGCAAATAGAAAAGGCATAAATGAGGCAGAGCTTCGTGCACGAGAGATTATTAAAATGTACAAATTATAAGTTCATTTTATGGAAGTGTTATGTTTTACTGTGTGGGATTCAAGATTCTGATTTTTCTGGAAATTAAAATTGACTACTTTTGAAGACGAAATTAACTAAAACTAAATTATAAATAAATATTGAGTACTAACTCGAAATCAACAAACTTTTATAATGTATAACTTATAGTTGATGGAATGGGATTATGTATTATATGAGGTGTAGTATTTATTAATAATATTTCCAGTGGTTAGTTGCCACTGAGCCCGGGTATTGCCAATATTACTTGGGAGTGTTGAAGAAGTTACTAAAGGTACTGTAATTCGGATTCGCGATAATGGAGTTATATGAGGTGTACTATTTATTAATAATATTTCCAGTTGTTAGTTGCACTGAGCCCTCGTATTGCCAATACTACTTGGGAGTGTTAATGAAGTTACTATAGGTACTGTAATTCGAATTCGGGATACCTGTAATGGAGTTGGGACACTCAGAAAATTGACGTGCGAATTAGTTGTACTTCCTTGAGATGTTAAATGTAAGTTTCAGGAATGGGCGATATGCCGGCAATATACTGAAGGCATGGGCTTGTTGCCACAGAAATGATTATGTGCTCATAATGGTGATTATTAGTATTAATATTATAAAAATGCAGGAAGGTCATCTATGCAACAGTAACAACAGTAAAGTACCACCACATAAGACGACATATAATTTTATGTGTTAAATAAATGACCTAAACTCGGTCATAAACAAAAACTTATTAATTATTGATAAAAAATTTTGTTAGTATTAAAATATTAGTTTGATCATATATCATAATTTAATTAATAATTCTAAATCTAAACTAAATGATAAATATATAATAGAATGAGTTAATATTTAAATATATATTAAAGAAAATTAATGCTCTTAAGTTCAAAATAGGTATTGAGATATAAATATTATAATATATTTAAAAATATTAAAACTAATGATTATATATAATAATAAACTAGTAATAATTAATGTAAATAATCTTTAACATATATAAATATTTTGCATTATTTTATTATATTTTTATAATTATTATAGTTTTGTGATAAAAATATTATTTTTCTTATTAACATATTTTATTAGTACATAAAAATTATTTAAATCAAATCAAAAACGAAACTATTATAGGCATGATTGAATAATAAAATATATTTACAATATTTCAATTAAATTCTATATTTTAGTTTTTAGAATTAAAATTATTTTTATTTATTATTTTTATTTTAAATTAATATATATATATATATTTTTAAGACAATTAAAAATTATTTATTAAAAATATAAATAATTTTTAAATTTAAATAAAATAAATAATTTTAATAATAAAATTATTTTATTTTTAAAAACAAATTTACGTAAAAAATTACAAAATTTCCGTCGACAGGCTGGTTCTTAAGGTCCTTCCATCGCAAAGGACAACTCACGACAAAATCAAGCACAAACCGAATGTAAGCGACGAACTTACGAAACTGTAAAAACATTCCCAACCGAAAGCGAGCAGCGAATGAAATGACTGCAAATTCGTAAGCCAACGTAATAGGCGCCAACGTAATGATCAGCAACGTAATAATGAAGTTCCCGTACATGGGGCATGAGGCACCTACTTACGTAGGTAACGCAAAGTAAAAAAAAACTAGAAATGTATGAGGGGAAATTACAAGAGTGCAAAGTGGAACATGTTGCAAAAGGTGGAGCCTACATGCAAGCTTAGTATGTAAAAAAATTATGTAAAACTAAAAATTTATGTAGATATTTTCACTTAGAGACTGTTAAGTATAAAAATAATTTTAATTAAATTTTGAGGTACATTTCTATTAAATTTCAATAAAATTTAAGGAGAAAAAAAACATAACTTAAATCTTTAACTTAAAAACGATTTTCATAAATTTGAATAAAATCGAAATTAAAATGCAAATGTTTGCTAAAAGCAATTTATATATGCATATATGCATATATGGATATATTTCGAATAATTTCTATTTAATCTCACTACGGTTGTTGCTTTTTTCCTTTTATTTTTAAAGCATAAACCCTTGCCAAAGCACAAGCTCATGAACTCAGTTGTTTTCGTATGTGTATGAATGTGTGTGTGTGTGTGTGTGTGTAACGTTTGCAATTTCATTTGTACTGTTACTAGGCAAAATCTTATAGTTTTGTTGTATATTTGCTGCTTTTAGTTTTAGTTACTCTTGTTTTACATATAAAAATTGTACATAAAATGCATACATAAAATGTTGCCCATCCAATCAAATGCAATGTTGCAGTATGTAGTTGGAAATGTGCCATGTGCCATGTGGCATGTGGCATTTGGCATGTGGCATGTTGTACATAAGTAAAAGTAGTTGCACTTTACTTCTCCCACCTATGATGGGGCAGCATGCTTGCTGTCGTATAACATTTACATACTACATGCAAAATGCAAACATCAATACAAACACTAACAAACATTAACAAACACCAACAACAACAATACCAACAATAGCAACAAGAGTGACAACAACAGCTACAACAACAGTGGCAACAACATTTGTTGCTACTAACTATGTGCAATAAAAAGTTGCAGCAGTGCGCATTAAAGATTTGGTCAGATTATAACTGACTTGCTTGTCCATATTGCAACTTGCATCCCGTGCAAATTGTGTATTTGTAATATTTATATATTGGAGGCGGGGGGCAATGGTGTTGGCAGGCAGAAATGTACAGAAATATGACTTAGTTCGTCAAAATTCGTAAATGGAAGTTCGTTTATGAAATGCCAGCTTTTCATGCTGCAATGGCATAGTTACTAAGCCTGCAACATTTCCACTCTGTTATATATAATAACTACATAATAAAAAGGAAGTAAAGTTTTTAAATGCTAAAGTGCGTAGTGCAAGAGGTGGAGCACTACCAGTAGAGAAAATAAAAAAAATATCACTTGCAGTTGTGCAGTTGTTGCGGTTGCAGTTGCAGGAGCAACAAATTTTCACATATATTCAAAGTTCCAACAAGTCTCATACTGTGTAGCATAAAGTTCCAGCTAACATTAACATGCAAAAGCATACATGGTAAACTTACATTTAGCATAACACAAGGTCACTCAATTAGTAACTATTGCTTACTGTTATTAACAGAGTACGGTATCTCTTGTTGGCTAAATAGGAACATGAAAATATATTGTGTATAGAGCACTAATTGCCACGTGACATTGTTGCACTTGAGCTTGCTGGCAATGTATACAGAAATTTATGTATGTAGAATTTTTTTGCTGTTTGCAGCGAATTTATTTATCAAAACAAAACCAAAAGTGCGTTTCTACTCTTACTTTGTATGTGTTGGTGTATTTTGTGTATTGAGAGAAACACGTGCCGGGTTTTTAACAGTGATTTAACATGCACATATGCTTTTACATTTATGTAGTTTACTGAGCTATTAACTGATTTTGCTTTAAATTGTCAATACGAATTAAGTGCCACAAATACCAAAAGTTATACTCAACGATTTAAGTAAATAGATAGGTTGGATATGTGAAATAAAAAAAAAGTGTTTTTAATAAATTTATTGTGTTATTATTCTACACATACTCTGTTAAGTTGCACTGATATTATATGCAAAGAAATAAACAAGTATTTTTACGATTTTTTATTCTGTCATACATTAGCTTATTATCTGCATATACTTTGTATATGTAATATAGTTGATTTATAAGTCTTATATTAACCTATTAATTTCCTACAGTCTGTTTATGCCAAAATTGTGACTGTGAAAACACAAAAATTTCAAGTAAAGATACAGAGAGATATCTATAAGTCAGAGATATCAAATATAGATAGAGAAAGATATCTATAATACTTTAAAGACCACCATACTTATACTCTGTTTCTGATAAAACAGTGAAATATACTAATTACTTACTTAACTAAATGTCCACAACAATCCGTTACCGAGTTTCGGACTAACGCAGCATTTCTCTCCACTCCAGGTTTACCAGTTCACCAAGTACGATTAGTGCTTCCTCAATCTGATAACTATACCGAAGACACGATCTACCTTTACACTTTCCTCCTTCAAGCACCGTTTTAAATTGCTTTTTCGCTGGAGTGTCTTCATCCATTTTTACGACATGATCAAGCCACTGAAGACGCTGTATATTATTTCGCTGAACGACATACCTACATCAATGTTGTAAAAAAGCTTATGCAGCTCATGGTTCATTCGGCAGCGGTAGACGTCGCTAACTACTAGAGAACCAAATATCTAAAAAAGAATTTCTGTTTGGAAGCCCTTTAGTGCTGTTTTACCAATCTGTAATAACGATCATGCTTTACAGATTGGTAAGCCTAAATAGGTTGAGCGTACTATAGAGCGCAAGTTTTTTCTGTCGAGCGAGAGGTATACAACCCAATTGCATTCTAACCTCATAGTAGCAACTATTGGCTATGGTGGTTTGATCTCTGGGATGACTTCGTTATTTGTTGTCTGATCTCTTTTCATACCCTTCACAAGTTTTAATCTCTTAAAACCTTCTTATGTTATGTCTGTGTTTTCTCCATTCTTATTAATGTGGTGAGTAAGAACCTGAAATTTTGTGATATTCACTGCATTATCTTAACACTCATGAATGAAAACTTTGCTGATGTAGAGTTAGTCTATAAAGGTCATTTGTCCAACTGTCTTACACAGTTTATCTGAATCCAATTTCATTATTTTTTTATTTCGTTTTAAGTTACAAAATCCTTTTATCACTTGCCAAAAATCAGAATAGAAGAACATCGAAACGACAGAGAAAGAAATCAAAGCAAAATCCAAAAATAAACTTAAAAATAAAACATTTTGAAAGTTAAATGTGTGTGGAACCACACACACACATAAACCACGTTAAGTGCTTTTAGTGAACATCACAATAGGAAGTTTTTTATTGCTTAAAATTGTACACAGCTGATAATTGCACGCGTTGCAGCCACCTATACACACACATACATGCATGCGGGCTTTTAACATAATGAACAGATAATTAAGCGGTTGGCTTTGTGGGAGTCAAAAGCGAGGAAAACTACAAAAATGAGAGTAGATTTGTGGATATGCACAGCTGTTAGCATATTAACAGTACACTGATAAATAACAGTTTGTGTGTATACGTATGAATCTAGAAACATATGTGCTTTATGTAACTGTTAAATCATTTGGTTGCTGTCTATTTCCAAAAGAAAGCAAGCTAACAAATTTGCCGGCTTGCATTTGTGTTAGTGTAAAATTTTACGCTCTCTACTTTGAGCGACATAAGATATAGCATGTAACATTTCACAATTTGTGCTGACGCTGTTAAGTGTTAATAAAAGCTGAGCAATGTTGTTGCAGTATTAAGAACGGCAGTATGTAAGTATAAGCAGCGCAGTCGCTGACGAATGTGCCGAATGTACTATTTTAAATAGGTAGGAAATGCACAATACCGACGCAGCGCACAACATGATAAAGTAGTAGTGGTAGTAGTATAAGTTAAAATAGAAAATAGTAAATTCAGCTTTATTAAGCTGCACTGCCTATGTTAACGCTTTACCACTGCTACTGTTAACGTCGCTGTCACTGTTGTCATAAGGAAAAAGGGGTTATTGGGATTTAGCCGACATCCCGCTCATATTGTGCATTATGCAAGTACATGGCGGCACAACTACAACACAACTTGTGTTGGCAACCAACATTATTGTCGGCTTGTTTCTAGTGCATGACAACAAATACAAGATTAACCATAAAAATAAAATGGTTAAGTTCAAAAACGTTGAGGCAAAAATAACAAAAAAAAAAATGGGAATATGAGGAAAATTTTTCAAATGCAAAAACAAAAACAAAAACAAAACCAAAGAAAAAAGTTGAAATGCACAGGAGCAGCAACACGCCATGAAAATCAAACTAAACTGAAACTGCAACTGAAAAGGAAAATTCACAACGCAGTTTAGTCCTGTGCATATAGGAAGGTTTCCAGAAATCAGTTGTACGTGAACGTTCCTTTAGTAAGGACGCAACTGAACACATTAAATAAGTTGAAATTATTAAGTGATGTAGTCAATTTTAAAATAGTGAGTTAACTTTTGAAAAACCGCAACAATTAAATTTTTCACTAACTTTCTAGTGTTAAAATAATACGAATAAAATTCTCAATTTTGTTATAAAATTTTAATTTAAAACTTTTAAAATGAATTTGTTGTTGAAATCTTAAATATTTGAAATTATAACGTATAAAACTGACATTAAGTGCATTATTTAATATTTTAATCAAGTGCAGTGCTGCGTTGTACAAAAATTTTGTGCTGAATTTTAACTTAAATTATTTAGGATTATTTTTTTATTTCATATTAATATACCTAATTTTAGTATTATATTGTTTTTTATCTTAATTTAATATGAAAATGCATTTCTGTTTTGAACCGGAAGGCGCCTTTTACTGCTTTAGACCGCTTGTCTGCCGGTGCCTTTGCTTTTCTGTTAAACTTTACATTACCACAAAATGTAACTGTTATGTTGTAATATTAGTTTCTATAAATAAAACGTTGCCACTTCAACGAGCATTGTGGTCAGTAGTGCAAAAAAAAATGCATTCAAAGTTGTATTACACGTTGATTTGAGTTTTCTTTTATATATATATATTTTCAAAAAAAAATTGCAAATTTCTGAATATATTTTATATTATATTGAAATTATTTTTAAAATATTAAAAGATAAAAATTGCTTTGTGGAAAAAAGTCTTTGGAAGTTGAATTAAAAAATAATACTCTTCTTAATAAAATTCCTAAATTCTTTTCAAAAAAATTACTTAAATTAAATAAATTAAATTCTTCTTTTAAAGAAACTTTGTCTAGAGTTCAAGAAATATTTCACAATGATCATTCCAAGATAAATACATTTATATATTCAAAGTATATATTTGATTTTTTACCAAAATTTAAAATTAAACTTATGGTTATATTTTAATTTAACAAAATCTAATACTAAAAATTATTATTACTGTTTTGTTAAAAATAGAAAAAAAATTGTTTTACACTGTTATTTATATTAACAATTACATTATATTATTAATATATATGTGAATATTTTATTTATTTAATATTTTTTTTTTATAACTGATTTAATATGTATTTTGTCCAAATAAATTTTGTGAGATATTATAATTTTTAAAAAAAAAATATTAAAAATATTTCAGACAATAATTTATAAATAAAATAGTTTATTTTCTATAAAGAGCTACTCTTTTTTAATTTAATTTATAAAATAACTATTAACAAATAAAGTAGTTTATTCTCTGTAAAGAACTACTGTTTTTTAATGTAATTAATAAAATAACTTTTAACATATCTTTCTCTTTCCCATTTTTCTATATAAAAATTGCTTATTACATTGTACTTAACTTAAAATAAAATTTTGAATAATTTCTGCTAATAAATTCGTTTTATTCAAGAAATAATAGTTTTTAATATAAAATCGTTTAATTGAATATTCAAGATAAAAATAAAATTTCAAATTAATTAAAAATGTTTAATTTCCAATATTTAAATTTTTGTATAATTTCTGTGTAATATTCAATTTTTTAAATAAATTTTAAATTTCAAGATTTTTATAAATTTAAACTATTATTTTATTTATTATATTATGTTAAATCCTTTTTTGTAAGCAATAATTAAATATTTTTTCGAAATTTATTAAAATAAAAAATAATTTTTTTTAATGAATCACATATAATTTAAAATAAAAATTTTGCTAATTTATGCAATTATGTATTTTAATTTTATATAAATAAAAACAATATTTTAATATTTCAAATATATGAATAAGCTTAAAAATGGTGTTTTAAGTTATTTTATTTAACAGTTTTTTATATTTATAAAAGATTACTTATTACTTCTATAACACAGCCCTCAAAATATGAAATTTTTTTAAATAATTTTTTTAAATAATTTTTTTAATAATAATTGTTTTAGCGATGATATTTATAAATTTTTTTTTTTTTTATATAACAAAAATATTTATTATATAATTATACTATTATAATTATACTAAATTGTTTGTATTAAAATTTTTTTAAGTTTTGTTTATGACATTTTTTATATATATATTTTGGTGTGTTTTTTTTTATATAGCGTTTTTAAAATATGTTATATTATTTTCAGTCACCGCGTATAAATTTAATATTATAATTTAATATTTGATTGCAAATTCGACAATAATCCGTTTTATATTTATTATTTTTTATAATTCGTTTTTATAAATTATATACATGCTATTTATTATACATTTCAAATGTTTTCTCTTGGTACAAGAGATCTGACAATTACAATACCCTGATGCAAATACAATTTAGATTCCCTATAGAGCGTCTACTTATATATTTCAACAATTTTTCTTATAATTAAAAATTTACTAAATAATAATTTAAAATAATTTTTAAATTAATGAATTTTTTTTTATACATTTTGTAATTATTTTTAGTAAACCAGCGCTTAAATTTAAATTTAAAATTATAATTTAATATTTTATTATCGGTTTTGATTTATGAGGCGTAATATTAAAATGTTACCGATTAAATCTAATAAAATAATTTGAAACGTTACATAAATATTTCTTAACTTAAAATAAGAAAAAAATTATTTGTGAAACTAAATTGACTTTCGAACCACTTCAACCGAAAAGCATCAACCTGGAGCCTTATAAGCGGTGAGTGTCATCAAATAATTATAAGAAAGTTTAACTAATTAATTTTTTTTGTGGTTGATAGAGGTTAAAAATATATTTTTTTAAAGATTATATATTTTTTAAAGATTTTATAATATTTTTGATATTATTTAAATGCAACTGAAATAAAATTACTGTGATATTGTAATGTATTCAAAAATTAAATTGATATATTACATAGAAATAAACAAAGGAATTAGTTGAAATTACAACGTCTTAGTATTGAAATAATATTGAAAATATTATATATAATATAAATAATAATATAAATAATAGAAATTATTAAAAAAATTATGCCTCAATGTATTATTTGAAGACTTAAATAATTAAATTTATAAAGTAACTTATTTAACAACTAATTAAACAACTAAATAGCTCAGGATTTTTTTCATTATTTTATTTAACTTCATTGTTATTTTATCCTTACCCCTCATATAAATATATATAAAATTAATGTTTTGACTTAACTCTATTTTTTTCTTAATTGTTGTTACTTTTTTATTCTTTTTGTATTCATAAATACAATTATTAAAAATTTATTTTACCAAGTGTCTATAATTTATTAATATTTATATACCATATTTTCCTGATATATTTTAATATATATTTTTTCAAATATATTTTTAATAATTCTCAATTGACATCTTATAAGGGTTATAAAATGACTCCGTACCGATTTAAACTTATTTTACACCTCTTCTCCTTCAAATTCGTCCACCGTAGCGTATGAGTAACGCAAAATACTAGTATGAAAATCAGATTTAAATAATTAAACACAACATCATTATGACTACTTTTTTAATATTAATATTGGAATAATATATATACATATATTTACATATTAAATAAAATTAAATTAGTACTAAATCAATTTAAAATTTAAAATAATTTTATGTAAATAATAAACATAAAAATTTATCAAACTTAATATATAATACATTTCGCGATTATATTATATACTTTTAATATATATTCTTAATTGCAATTAGTATTAATAAATAAATTAGTATTAAATCAATTTAATATTTAAAAAAATTGTATATAAATAATAAACATAAAAATTTATCAAACTTAATATATAATACATTTCGCGATTATATTAGATATTTTTTATAAATAAGTTTTTTAGTACAATTTGTTAAGGATTTTAGTCAACTAAAGGAATTCCTCTAAGAGAGCATAATTTACTTGGTTTTAAATACTTTGTAGTTTCTGCGATAATGTATAGTTGAACCGTAGACTTAACATAATCAATTAAGCTATCCTAACTTTTGACAGAATTTTAATTTGACTTATTTCTAAGAAGATTCAAAAGCAATACTGTAATAATAATAATAAAGCTTCATTTGTACTATACATATATATTCGTTTCGAAAAAAATATAGGAAAAGTTCAAGCAATAAATATATTTTAATCAATATTTGGTACATTCAGACAGATCAGTATAAAAACTTGTTTAAACTTTATTGAAACTCATGAAGTTATTATTTTCTTCTTTTTCTAAATTAGTATATATTTGAAGGAAATTTAGGTTCGGTTATGATATTTAAGTATATATCTTTGGATTCAGATATTCGAAATTCGTTTCAGCTACTTGCCTTAGGCTCTGTTTGTTGAACGCAGGAATATTTATTTACCTCTAATTTTAGCAAAGTTACAAGTTTTCATATAGTTTCTCTCGAAGATTTTAAGGAACTATTAAAAATTAATAAATAAAGTATTTAAATTAAATAAGTAAATAAGCTAATTGCAGTTTACTTTTGAATCAAAAATTAGCATACTTTCATACTACGTAATATACTTAAATAATAACAAAAACATATTAAAAAAGAACTATTAAAAACGCCATGGAACTATAAATTAAATTTTCTTGACCTAATAAATTTACTTTTATATTTTATATCTTGTTATGTGGTTATATTTTAAAATAGGGTGTGAAAATTTTGAAATGTGAAATTCGATAATAAAGTCCTAATAAAGTATAAAATATTAAGAGCTTGTTATACTGATACCCCAATATACACATAACCCCACACAGAAAACACCATATTTCTTAAGGGTCTAAGTCTTAAGATCCAATTTGTTATTTATATATACTAACGAATATGTCTAAATAAATAATATTCAGCACAGGTAAGATTAATTTAACTACGCAAAAGCTACACATAGACCTAGTTGACGCTAGTTCATATCATTAAAGGCCTACCTCTATAAAATCGAGCGTCATTTATGTAGATTTATATTAGGCTCATGTAGGATAACGATAATTATTGAAAATCTAATGAGTACTTGATATTTGGTTTCTAAAATCTCCCCCCAACTTACCAAATTTTAGAGCCACTAAGTTGGTCTATGGAGGTCATAAATGTAAGAGATATTCAAAAGTTTTTATTAAATAATATTTAAATTACAGTTCATAAACTCCAAAATTTAAAAACACATAAATATGAAATTTCTTTTTAAGTTCAATTTATTCAATTATTTTCTTCGTCTTAATAGCCAATAAACTGGCAAGCGACCAAGAGGAAGAAAATTATTTCAAAACATTTGGCATTTACCTGTAGATTGAAAACAAATCAAGCACTTAATGTACCTGAAAGCAATACGAGAGTCGTTTACACATAACATGCAACGATTACAAATGTCACAAAAGAATATTTAAACTTAAGGATATACGTACTCGTATGCAAATGAATAAGTAATCAATTTCGAGAAATGTTTTCCAACTTACTAAGGAATCACATAAATGTAAAATGGCATTTTATTTCACTATTGGGACTTGTGATCGTATTTAATTTTATTAAACTATTAGAAATATATCACAATATGTATGAAGGCAATATTATCGTTTCGATAAAAAGAGAGCATATATAACATGTACGAATTGCTTGCAGCAACGATTTAAAGTGAATTATAGCTACTAAGCCGAATATCCTGTAAGGCTCGATGCATATTTAAACTGTATTCACAACAGCTTGTGTTTGCTCAACAAGGAGCAAGGAACGTAGGAATAGTCAGTCGCCTACCGAAGTAGTATTAACAAGTGTTTACACATTTGAACTTTAAAATTTAAATAATTTATTTACTGTGTCAAATTGTTGGCTAAAAATTGGACATCAAAGGCTCACTTCTAAACATTTTCACACATATATGCATGACTGCTTAAGTCTATGGCACAAAAAGAGAAGGTAAAAGGGACGAAGTGATTGTTCAATTGCCTGATAGTATTTTTCCTGTCTTCAACCGTTGGGTTGCCAGAGCTGCTTGCATGTACATATGAGATAAGTTACTCTGCGTCAACGCAGCAATTGCAGCAACTGAAATATCCTCTTCAAACTTTTACTCTTACTCTTTGCTGGGTTCATTTTTGCTGCTTCATTTTCAAGAAGATAAATTGCTTTATTGTATCCGTATGAGTCCACTTTAGTGTGCAGTAGCCAGTGCGTCTGTGTGTGATATGTCAGTACAAGTGCATTGTTGCTTTGGGCATAACATATGGATGTGGATGCATAACATATGGATGCATACTTCAGCTGACTGTATGAAAAACTAAAATCAGCTGGTGGAAAAAATCGAACACGACGTTTTTTTTTTCTGAGTCCATTGAATTTTCTTATAAAATGCGTTCAAAAGATTTTTCAGTTTTGGTAAATTGATGACAATTTTCTGCCAATCTCATACAATCTCATAAGTTTAGAATTTTTAATCAATGAAGTTACTTCGATGTGCTTATTAGGTTTTTTGTAAGATACTCGTATGTAATAAATTTTAAAAAATTTTAAAATTCATAATATTCTCAAATAATATTTGTAGTATTTAAAAAGCAATGGGTTCCAACTTTTATGTCAATTAGTATGTACTGTAAAATATAATCATGATCTTCATAAGTTCTTTCAATTCTTGAGTAAAAGTTTTTGCGTGAACTTCCATGTCAACTCATTTCAAGAGCATTTTAATTTGTTCACATCTCTATATAATATATAAGACGACATAAATTGAGACCATAAATTAAGGCCTTTTATTCTTTTTTTATTGTTTGAATTTCGCTCAAGTGCATATCGACAAATTTCAGAAGATATACGAGTATATAACGGGTGTTTTTTTTAGCTGCATAAAAATTTAAAATGAGAATACAAGAGAGAAGTATTAATGAAATTTTTTTTATTATAAAATGGTGGATATTTTCATGACATTTATTTTTTAAATATGATTTCCGGCATAGGTAGGATACATGGTCCATTCGATCAGTTTAATTTTTGAATATTTTTTGCAATAAATGTAGCTATATGTAGTCAATGGTGGCATGAACGTTGACTCCCAAGTGCTACTGGTTTGTCAGCATAAACAAGTGATTTAACGATGCCAGGTAACAGGACCACTTTTGGAAATAAACTTGTTACCAAATTAATTTCGTAATAAATCGATCTATATAGTAAATTGTCTTGTTGGAATCAAATGACGTCAATGTTTAACTAATTAATATTTGGAAACAAAAATTCAGTCAGTACGGGTCTATAGCGCCATTCGTCGAAACGACAACTCCATCCCCATTTGGAAAGAAAGAAGGACTGATGACCGGCGTCCACCACTGACGAAGCCAGCGTGTTAACCGCACGAAACAGTCAATTTTAATAGATTTAATGGTAATTCGTTAATTATGGCTTATCCTCTCTCCATGTACGGCAATTTTGCTTATTGACATAGTCATTTAATGGGCTTCATCACTGCACACAATTCTTGGATAAAATATGAACTTCGCGAACAGATATATATTTTTTTTTTTTAAATAAATTTTCAAAATTTTGTTCTAGCATTAAACGATTCATAATGAATTGAGAAACGTCAACACAACTTAAAATTCTCAGCTATCAAACCATAGTTATCGATATCGATAGTTCTCACGCAGCTAAAAAATAATCTATATAATACAATACTACAGGTATCAGAGATCTTGAAAAGTATATATATAGTTTTGATCAGCA